CTTTTACTTTAGTACAATTTTTGGTTTCTCTACCCACCTCTGGTTTTCACACATATACCATGTACCCTGGTGAAATGTCAGGAGGGTACTTCCAGTCATTATGCTAAGCTAGGCTAGGCTAACTATGTCCTGACTCCAGTTCTGTACTTTACACACAGAGATGGGATTTTCATTTCACTCTCAGAAAGACAGTGAGTAAGCATATCTTGCTAATTGTTCTTTTAATCTTTTCCTCTTCCTCATGCTACCAAACAACTGAACGGACAGGGACATGTGTAGATCATAAAAGTCACCTCCTCAGCCATCTGCAGCAGGGCCTGGTTGTTACTCTCCCATTTGGTCCTCCACTGTGTCGTCTCTTTCTCCAGCTTTTTGATCTTCTTGGTCATCTGGAGGTAAATCCAGACAGTTAACAGCTGGCAGGGAAACTAGTGAGACACCCACAGGTTCAACTAGAGAGCAGACAGAGCTCACCTTCTCCATCTCTTGTCTGAAAGTGGTGAAGACCTCGTTGCTTTTAGCCAGAGTGCTCTGAAACTCCTCAAACTTGTCCATGTAGAGGGAGAGCTACGAGGAGAGACAACACATCAGCTGGTTGATGTGCACAAAAGGTCAACACAGTCTGTTGCTGGTAAAGATGCTGTGTGCAGTGTTTCTGATCCACCAAGGAACTCTGTGTGTGTGTGTGTGTGTGTGTACCTGCTGTTTGAGCTGCGTTTCTTGCTCCTTCATCAGCTCACACTTGCGCCTGGACTCCGTGGCGTCCTTCAGCAGCTGAAGCATCACAGTACAGTCAGTTGTACCGCTCTCACTGATCCTCAATGCTGTTCAATGCCTAACATTGTATTTCTGCTGGCTACTACTGGCTACTTACTGCTGGTTGATGGGGCAATAAAAACACAGGCTCACAAAATGTACTCACAAAGTCTCTTTCTCTCTGCTGCTTCTCCTCCACTTCTCTCATCATGTCAGTGATCCTCTGCAGCTTGGCATCCATCAGCTGCTGCTGCAGCTCCTTGTGCTTGAACACCTTGTCTATGTGCTGCCAGAGGGACACATCAGAGTTACACTCGGCTGGACGGCCAGTGGTGTGCTCTGCTGTGAGCAACTTTTATCACCCACAAACTTCTCCTTTGAACCTCTTTTATCTTATTTCCCTTGCAGATATTGGCCTTTTAATATACACCACATCAGAGTTTGAGGTTTGTTGGCCTCCAGTGGTTTCACAGTAAAACAGTAGCTACAAATCTTCAATTCAAACACACAACCCAGCCCTATTGTTTAGGAATCTTAGAGTAGGACTGAAATGATACGTCAAGAAACTTGTTTACAACAATCCGGGTAGAGGTACTTTTGAGCAGTCTCACCTCCTCTCGGAGCTCGTACTGCTCAATGAGCTTCTTGAGCTTCTCGGCCAGCTCCATGTTCTCCTGCCTCAGCTTGGTGTTGTGGGAGCTGTGCTGCTCCATCTGCACCTCGATGTCGCTCAAGGTCATCTGGAAGTGCAGCATGGCCTCCTTCCGCTGCTCCTCGTACTCCCTAGAGCGCTGAGCGTTCTCCTCCTGTCAGGTGGCAGGTGTGGGAGTGAGAGGAGGTCAACAAGGAGTTTAACAGAGGGGAGGGGAATCTGCTATTCACACTGGAAACAAATGACATCAGAGAAGCAGCACTGGAGAAGCTGGATAAATGTATCAAAGTTTATGTTGTGAAAATACTTATTTTGTGGTTTGTGATTGTGAGACTGATTTTCTTTGTTCAAGTCAGTTGATTTTCGAGACGATTCGGTTTGCTTGTATCCTGTGTTGATGCAAA